ATCACCTATACGCTCTTGTAGGGGCATTAACAAAAAAAAAGTGACAATATTTTTATGAAACGTTACAATTAACAACAATGTACTACTGTTCATAAGAAGAAGTTAAATTCTGATTTTGTTAAATTATTTCCTCCATAGAGGATGGGCCATTCCTGGAGGTACTGCAATACCAGGCCAACCCGTGGCCAGGACGGAGCAAGCTCCTATTCCATGGCCTAATTTCAAAAATCAGTTTAATATAGAAGCTACTCAATGAGCAGCGTTTGAAGCTACTCAATGAGCAGCGTTTCAGATATTAAGCTGAAAAGAACAGATACTACACATGATCTTAGCCAAAAGGCCGAGAAGCGATACTCAAAATTGTAGCCATGAGTATATATATCAAAGACGATACGCTATTGTATTGGTGTTGAATACCACACTTACATTATAGGCCAATAATTTTCAAAATTTCAAGAAACAATAATTAGAGTACAATATAATTCTTATAATTCTATTTATTTTTATTATCTTATTATTTTATTATCAAATTAATAATAATAAACAAGGTTTGTTATTATTTATAAATAACTTAGAATATTAATTAGCTTCACGCATGAATGATTATCAATTGCAGCTTTCCCATTGGTGCAAGATAATTATTACATTCCCTTTTGTCAGGCACACACTGACTTGAGTTGACTTTTAACTAATTGTATTACTTTAGTAAGGCAAGACTTTTTATACAATTAGCCAAATTATTACTGGGATATGCAAAATTCTGCATGGGAAATCTCAATAGAGTACTCACTGCACGCGACGGTGACGCGACGGCAATGTGACGATGAACGCACGCAACGGCGTGGAACCAACTTGTCGCTTTTTTAAGGAGGATCTATTCAAGCTGCCACTGACAATCAGACGGCGTTAAGTCATCTATCGCTTACTGGAAGCTGGATTTGTCATCCGACGGTCGCATAGCATAATGTTGTAGTGAGTGCCCGGCTTTAAATGCATGATTGAGTTGGGATTGTAGATTATAAATATACTTAACTTTTATGAGGCTATATATGTTTTTTCCTTCTTGGTCACGTTAGGCACCAGTGAGAAACCCAGCAGCAGTGAAGGCTCTAGGATTAACCAATCCTCCAGGAATACTCCTTGCTGGTCCTCCAGGCTGCGGAAAAACCCTACTTGCCAAGGTAGACATGTTGAATAATTATCGAAAAAATATGCATATAAAAATAAATTTTTAAATCATGGTACTAGAGATTGCTGTCTAATTCTCCAGAAGATTTTGAAGTGTGCATAATAATATATTGATGAATATCTAGCTACTGAGGTTTTCATGTATGTTTTGTACTTGCATATAATTGAAATAAATGATATGAAAGATATGGTATAATTATGTGTTCTGTATGTTAGGCAATTGCTAATGAATCTGGAATCAATTTCATTTCTGTGAAAGGACCTGAGTTACTTAACATGGTGAGTATTTTCTCATTTATTAGCATTTTCCAAAGTGAGTGAGGGGAACAGTCACAGGGCTAGGGCCTCTAGTAAGCATGTAGAGTTTTGGTTTATTCTTTGTTTAATTTTTTGTACCCTTGAGTTTAATCAATCAGATTAGTTTCACTAAATCTAATATATTATGAAAGTTTGACCTTTTTTATTATGCTAATTAGCCTCCCTGAATAGCAAAGCTCCAAGTGAAGCTATTGCATTTCTTCATGATGTGAGTGATATAATGTGTTGGTGGTGTTGTCAGCACAAGGGGATAATTTAAAACAGTTATTTGTCATTAGGTACTGTAATATTATTTTCGTTAAAGTAATTCTTTCTGACCTATTAGTATGTTGGTGAAAGTGAGCGAGCTGTACGACAGTGTTTCCAGCGTGCACGCAACTCATCTCCGTGTGTCATCTTCTTTGACGAACTTGATGCCTTGTGTCCACGGAGGTCAAATGTGTCAGAGGTAAGTGAAAGTAAGCAGCAAAGCTCATTTGAGTTAACTAATGAAAGAGACTGTGTCTGCCTAAACCGTGGAGAATATTGTGGTGTCTGGTACAAATTCACCATTGTTCTTCCACAACACATTTGAATACAGGTTGCTTTCCTTACCTTTAGGAGTGGTGGGTTCAGTCATTTAAAAACATAAATTCTACTAAGATTTAAAGTAATTTTGATACAAGAGGTGGGAACAATCATGATTTTTGTTATTATATTTATTATATAACTCACAACATGATGATGGTATTTTTCTTTACTGTTTCCTATAATACGACCATGTCTTATATATCATCAGTGAAAATTTAAATCCAGTCGTACATTTTTTTTTTAGTCTGGATCAACAGCAAGAGTTGTCAATCAACTTCTAACGGAGATGGACGGGTTGGAGAGTAGAAAACAAGTATACATAATGGGGGCAACAAACAGACCAGGTATTAACTTCCTATATATTCTAATCAATCAATTGTCGCATTCATTTGATAAAAAAAAAAACTTTAAAAAACCCAACACATGGTTTTATTTGTCTGCAGTTTGTATATCGCCCATCCAATTTCCAGTAATTAGTAATTTATTGTTTAATTAGATACTTGTAATAGGTTATTTATTGATGATTGTAAGGGTTGCACTAACAGTCATTTCATTTCATACAGTGTCATTTGTCTCTTATCTGGAGCATATAATCCTACTTAAAATTTATGAATTGACAAAAAAAATCTGATGATCCACCAATAAGCACAACCAGATTGTTGTTCACATTCAATTATGAATTATAATATTGTATTTCAGGATGGCCTAGGACAAAAAATGCCCAATCAATCCAAAATCTCAGAAATCTAGGGTCACCTTTTTTAGAAATATATTGTGTTAAGTTATGATTTTACTAAGGGGAGGAGGCAAAGTATTTGTAAAATGTTTGGAAAAAAATGCCACTTGCCAAGCTTTAATTAGTACATTTGATTAATTGATCATGGGCTTTCAAATATCACTCACTATGTATGGGTCACACAACAATTTTTTTTTTTTGCACTATTCAACAATGCTAACGTTGACAAAAGTGTTCTATATCTGTCATACTTGATACATGTATTTTTCTGGTCTTTAGATATCATTGATCCAGCAATATTAAGACCTGGCAGATTGGACAAGATTTTGTACATTGGGATTCCAACTGCAGAAGATAGGATTGCCATTTTGAAAACAATTACAAAGGTTAAGACCCATTTTTATATCAAATTATGTCCATGTGACAAATGTTTGTGATCAGCCCATGTATCACACCCATATATATGAGCATGATGATGTCATATCACACCCATATATGAGTTTGATGATGTCATCATATTCATATATGGTAAGATGATGTCATATCACACCTGTATATGAGCTAGATGGTGCCATATCATACCCATATATGGGCCAGGTGATGACATATCACACTGATATATGAGCTTGATGAAGCCATATCATACCCATATATGGGCCAGGTAATGACATATCACACTGATATATGAGCTTGATGATGCCATATCATACCCATATATGGGCCAGGTAATGACATATCACACTGATATATGAGCTTGATGATGCCATATCATACCCATATATGGGCCAGGTGATGTCATATCACACCCATATAGGAGCAAATCCTGGCATTTATAGAGTAGAAGTTTTGCAGTCTTGAACTTTTTTTTTAATTGTGATTTTAAAGTGATTTTCGCAAGCTTTTAGATTCAAATTGAACCATATCATAGTGATAATGGTAAATGCTTCAAAAAAACTTTGTTCATATAGGTACCTTTGATCATTTATTCATTTATAATGCTTGTCACTAAAGACCTGTTCTGATTGGCCAATTGGTTGATTGATAGAGGTAGTAGATCCAAAATAATTTGTCTACATTTATACATTTTTCCCCAGAATGGGACAAAGCCATTGCTTGGAAGCGATGTGTCGATTGAGAAAATTGCTAGAGATGAACGATGCAATGGGTTCAGGTGAGTCTTATAAATATCATCACAATTCACACATATATATGTCATATCACACCCATATATGGGGCAAATAACATGTATTATCACATGTAATTTGATAGTGTAGAAGGCCTTAAAAGTGGCTGTCCCAACATCCTGATCAACCCATCATCTGATTGGCTGTAATCTCATCTAGATCAGACCACAGGCTGTTAAGTTGTGTATTTGTGTCATGAACCTGTGAGTCTGCTAATTTAACTCTTTGACAGTCATATATCAATTTACTCTCATAGAGGGTGCACTTCAAATATTCCACTGGTGACCAATTAAATATCTGGTTTTCTGTTTTACCATATTTCTTCATAAAGTTTGCATAAACGTTTTTGATTTTCATCTCGAAATAATAGGGAGTAATAGTTTAGTTATAACGTTTTTCTCTTAAGTGGAGCTGACCTAGCTGCCATTGTAAGAGAGGCAGCAATGGCTACGCTGAAGAAGGTACTGCAGAGCACACAAACTTCAAGCTTTGCACCTGTGCAATCTATTAGCACTGACAACCAATTACTATTGGAAAGGGATCAAAAACTTGTCATAAATAATGAAGATTTTGAAATGGCTTTTAGTAAAGTCAGGTGTTCTGTGTCTAAAAAGGCAAGTTTTGTAGAATTTTTACTTTTTAAATGGAATACATATATTTTTATTATTAGGGTCAGTATTGAAATCTTTCAAAAGATTACCAAGACCCTACCAGAATCATATAAAAACAAATTAACTTTTGCCGATGTATATACTACAATAATTCTTTAAAATTTTTGCTAATAATTATGATAATCATCTTCATCATCATTATGATCATCCTGCCACATACAATAACAGCGGGCAACACATAACAAATAATTACAACAAAACATTTCTTTATTTTCATTGTCCATTATCATGACATTTATAAAAATATACATTTTAAACCAATGAGTTGATTTTGAAAAATTTCTTTAAAAACTTTATTGAAAACCTTCTTTTTTTAAATTTGCAGGATCAAGAATTTTACAACAAAATGAAGATTTGTCAGATTGTGAAACAGATTTGAAATTATAGGAACAAGAAAATCTTAATAGATAAGAATAATTATTATACGCTCTACAGTATTACAATCATAATATAAAAAATACAGACTTTTTATTAAAACTGGTATAAAGATACACTGCAACTCTAACAAAAGAAATGGTTTTTTTTTTTAAATCAAAAGTTTAAGTTAGAATTAGAATTGTTCAGGTGAAAGACAATTTTTCAACTGTCAATAAATCACAGTTTGAAACAAAAAAATCAGTGGTTACCGATGCTTTCTTTTGAGGATCACCAATTTTAAACGTTGAAATACTTCATAAACAGGTCACCTAAATAAAAATATTTATCTAAAAGCAGTCTTTATGAGTATATTAATTTAATATTTTTTTTCTCTACTTTCACAAACTTTATTGTAATACTGTTTCACAAAATTATGACAGCAGCAAACTTTATGTCTCCCTCCAATTAGAGGACACTTTTGGACCTTTGCAGCTTTGGTCTCTACTAGGTCTTTAATTAGAGGCAGACCTGCACTTTCTTAATGCAAGAGTTTTAACCTTTGCCCCATAAACAGTGCCATTTCCAGAGATTCCTCAATCAGGTGTGCCAGGTCCACGACAGAGGGTCCACACCCACCACAGTGAGCAAATTTGAGATTCCTTGTAATAGCACTCGCATCCTGTAAAAACACTTCTTCAAAGTAGAGTTTTGCTACAAAATTACTAGGTTCTTTCTGGTGATGAGTTTCTGGCAGGGTGCTGTGCCCCAGACCACTTCCTGGCCTGCTAGTGTTTGATTGCATTCTCATCGTAAGTTTCACTCTGCCATAATGTAAAGCTTCTATTGATCCATGTTTTCAAGTGAAACAAAAGACAATTCATTTGTCGTAATGAACTTGATGAGGAAATTATCAACAATGCAGTTGCGTACAAAATAGCACCACATAGAAACCCAAACCGATAATTACCGAAGTAGCTACATAACCAACCTAATAAGATAAAAAGAGAAATAACCAATATTTATTATTATTATTTTATTTATTTATTTATTTTTTTTTAACGACACTGTACACCATGTGTAAAAATATGGTTTTTGTGGTAAAACCCTTGCCTGTACCGTAAGTTTTACGATTTTGTTATTATTATTATTATCATTCTTGTTATTTTGAAAATAATAAAATTGATAGTACAGTATTAATAATATATTCATAATTAGGCCTACTTGTACAATAACTTAACTGTGACTTGATTTATAGCGTATTTGTTTTTAAAAACATGCTGAGGTTTTGACTGTCAAACTGTCAAAAAAAAATATTCTCAAATGTTGAAACACATTAATCTGGTTGTTAATGAGAGTAGATTTAAAAGGATGTTTTGAGACCTCTCAGGTCTTCTTCTCAACTGGTGTTTGACACCTTTAATGGTTGATTGAAAATACTTTTATATTTGCATTTGTTGCCCTGTAAATTCTGTATGCAATTACTGTACAATACCAAAGACCTTAAATAAGAAGAATGAGCTTTTCGCGTGTTTTGCATTAAAATTGACGGAATGTCCGCTCTCTCAAGAATGGAGGAAATAACTGTGACCATTTAACAGGGTGGAGGAAAGTTGCTCCATGGTCGCCCTCATCGACGTTTCACTAAGTCGCGAACTGCTCTATCTTCTATTTATTATCTTTGATAATACTTACTATAAATAAATCCGACCATCAGTGAGCACAATCCAAGAAGTGTTAAACCCCAACCAATCGCAACTCCTAGATTCCTGTGTTTGCATAAGTTACGAACAATAACAGGGTACCCAAGCAATAGAATAGCCCCTCCGAAGCCTGTCCCAAAAGCATACATGATGAATACAATTTTCGTAGGCGATATAAATACAAGTATGCTTAAAATACTACATACTCCTAAAGAGTATAAAAATAACGAAATCAACGCCCATTCCATTGTATAGTACATATCACAAAATAGGATCATTAGCCTTGCAACGAGATCAGAAAAACCTAAAACTGAAACAAAAGTTGCTGCAACCTCTGGTGTAAAATTTTCTTCGATTGCAAACGGTGACAAATAAATCAATGATGTTAAGTATCCTGACAGAGCTAGCGCAAAACCAATGATGAAGCTGAAGTAACCGCCGGTTTCCTTCAATTCATAGAACTTGATTGACTCTGAAACTGTAGTGAACCATGTATCACAAAAACCATTTGGAATTTCGGCTTCTGCTGTTGAATTATTGATGAGGTTATAAGTTGGTATTCCTATATCTGCATGCTTAGTTCGGCAAAGTGTTGCCGATACACATATGTGGAACATTATTCCAGAGAGTATAAGATATGCTCCTTGGAAACCATAAGAGAGAATTAAAATCTGAAATAAAAAACAAAATTGTTAAATAAAAGTAGACCTAGTACTGGTACTGTCGCATTGTTGAGGCTGGTGATGATATAGTAATTATAGTAACAGTAATAACTTTTCATACATTGTTGAAATAGCATTCTTACCTCGGCAAAAGTTGGACTACTCATCACGCCTACTGGGCTTCCTAAAGTCACCAAGTTCGATGTTAGAAGGAATCTATTTCCGAAAAACTCGTTCAAACATAACATACGTGCGTGGTAAGCAAGAATTATGCCAATTGCTAAAAAAAAAAGTCAATAAAAAGACTTCCAATAATTAACTTCCTTCATGGTAAATAAACATTTGACATAAAATGTGTTTATAAAGTAGATATCAAGAGTACTGTGGGTTGCTTGTGATAATAGGTTTTTCAAGACAGATATAGATAGCGTAATGTAATTGATTTTATTATTATTTTACCCATATTTTTTTTTTTTTGGAAAGGCGCTATAGAAATTCTTATACAGTATTATTATATTCATTCATGTTTATAATGAAGTAGAAATAGGTGACGTGTTGCTAGCCTTTCTCTTAGACGAGAGTAAAATACAAGCTTAAAATGTATTGTCTAATGTCAAAAAATAATTTTGAAAAAAAAAACTTGCTGATATTGCAATAGCATACAAATTATTAACTTGTGCATAAAAATTATTGAATTTCAAAAATGTGTACCATGATTTTAAACCAAAAAATTATAATAAAAATAATATAACACTGCCGTGACTGGAAGTGTTTCAATCATTTTTCGCTGTAAACTGATGGGTAGACATTTTTTAAATACACTAATTTCTATGTTCAAGTTGATAACTTTTATGTTACTTCAAAATGGGCAAGTTAATTTCAAAAAAATATTTTATTATATTTTTTGGTATTTAGCATGGGACAATACATCTATAAAATATTCCAGTTCTTACGCAATAAGAAACCATGACCAACCGCCAGTTGGAAGATGTTCGTAGAAAAGGCTGAAATGAAAAAGCCCAGAAAACACAAAATTCCTCCAATGAACATAGCTCTCGACTTTCCAATTTTGTCCACGATCACACCACCTACAATACCTGTAAAAGGTAATGAATGGATGATGAATGTTATTAAACAATAAACAGTCGACATATTGGATTTCATAAATATCAAAACACATTGATATAGGTTGTTCATTCCTGTTCGATAATTGAATAAATTTTTTAAAAAGGCCTATTAGATCTATCGTCACAATAACATTTACATGAAAGACTGGGCGAAATATAAACAGTACAATATACAAACTATCTCTGAAAACAATTAGTTGAGTTACGAACAAAAAGATTTCCTGCATCGTGTTGTCTTATCGGAAATTTAAGGCGGAAAGCCCGCCGATGCATGACTTTCAGGTGCTCAAGTGATGGCGGTGTCTAGCTAAACTGTTTATGGGAAAAGAAAGAATAAATAAACAAAATAGTGGAACCTTTTGTTTGTACGTTTTTAATTATTATTTATGTACTTTATATTATTTTACTTGAATTGTTATTTGGCAATGGCATCCCTTTCACAAGCGTGCTGCTTTTTTGGTGATTCCTCCATTTAATGGAAATATATTATAATGAATGAATGACATCCAATTTTAACACGTTTCCATACAACCTTGCTTTACCTGTGAAAATGAATGTACGTGTTGGACTTACCGCATATTTCGTTCACAGATATCGTTAGAGTTCCGACCATTGTCACCGAATCATTTTCGAAATTGTCAATAAGAATTGGCTGAAAAATGCCGAATATGACACGAAGTACTGCCGATGCCAATACTGCATTAATGAATAATCCAATAATGATACCAACTTGTTTGTATTTGCTCATTAATTTTGTCCTTTCCATGATTTCGAAAGCGATGAAAGTGGTTTGAACGTGTTAAATTCAAACCTGGTAGGGTGTGTTTGACCTAGGCCTATCTCAAAGACTACTGAACCATAGAAAAGCCAGATAGTGTTGCTTCTAGCATTGAGGATCTAGCTAGTTGAAAGAAATCTAAACGATTGTTTCCAGTGACGCCAGAAATACCACACTGTGACTTCAGATCAGTACAGTACTGGCTTTTGTATTATTATTTTGTTTATTGTGGTGCCAAACTTAACTTGCATTGTTTGGAATTCGCATAAACCGCTTCGTCACGCACTTGTGATGAGCGAAAACTTTCACCACGACAAGCTGGCATATGTTTTTCAAACGATATTCGAAGAATATTTATGAGCTCACCCGTAATTTATTTCTGAAATGGCCTAGTAAACAATACAGAAGAAAACAGGCTTTTGGAAAGGATACAACCGATGATATCAGGACCAAATTTTATCAGGCACTCAAGGCATAAATTATCTGGAAAGAAAAATCATGGCCAAAAACCTCAAGCACGATCGAACTCATGGGTGTATGCAAGTTGTGGGGGTGGTCGGGAAGGTCGTACGACCCCCCCCCCCCCAAACAAATGTTGAAAGGTTCACATTTTTCCAAAGACATTTTTTCCTAGGACCTTTTCACAGACAAATGAAAAAGCATTGATGAGGTAGCAGCAATGAATCAAAAGACCTTGCCAAGTACGTGACATAATCTATCTCAATTCCAAGGAAATGAGCGCCCTCGGTCTGTGCCAATTCGGCGGCAATTTCTATTTTTTTTTTTTTTTTATTGTACAGTATTGACATTTTAATCAAATGTTGCTGTTATTTCATTGTGAAAAGGTCCAAAAAATACGATACCGGGAAAATTAACCTAACACATTTCTGTGATTAATTATCACGTTTCAGAACAAAGAGAGAGACGTACAAGTTTATCTAAAAAGCAAATACTGGAAAATACTAAAGATCGAAAATTCACCAACAATCCGTTCTGAATATAAAATTTGGATCTACAAGCAATATATTCTCCCAAGCATATGCTTCCATCTTATCGATAATGATGTTTGTAAATCACATTTGGACATTTTTTAATTCTTAACGAATCGTTTTGTTAAGAAATGGTTTGGTTGGCCCCATCCTGGCAAATCGTTTGCCAAAAGGCTTGGACATAGCCTATCTAGGATATCAGCCTATCTAGGTATATCAGCCTATCTAGGATATCGGATCTCTACAAAGAATGTCATTTTTTCCCACGTCTCATCCCGCTTGAAAGGTGGGCCTATCATTAATTATTGCATTAACACCCCGGCTAGAAAGGGATTAAACTGGTCTCAAAATGTTCTATTTCTGAAGAAGGCGACTGTAAATAAAACGAAGTGCACGGGGCCAGTGGCGTATCTTGGGGGTGCGGTCTCCCCTCCCCTCCACAAAAAAAAACACGGTCAAGTAGTTAAAAATCACCTAAAATCACCTTATTTTGCGAATTAGCGGCCCTCAAAGGATCGTCGATTGACCTAGGCTTGTAGTTATTTTTTCTTCTTTCTCCATTCTGTATAATTTTATGTCTTAATGAATAAAATGATTTTATATATCTACACCCAGTCTCTGTTTTTGTTTAGTTTTCCACCAATCGGCTGCAACTCTTACTTTCTAATCTTCAAGTCATGATGAATAAAAGGTGTAGCCGCGTTAGTCTGTTATAGAACAATATATAAGACACGACAGCAACACTTTTAAGACTCACTTGTTTTATTTACTTGTTTATTTCTTTTATATTAATCGGTACGGTAAGTGTTTCCTTTTTTGGATTGAAGAGATACTATTCTAATTCGTGACGATTGAAGCAACTAAATCGAAATATCAAGACTTTCTCAACAACACAACAATACTTTTCAGAGCATTTAATTTTTTAAAAATCATCATCATTACTGTATTATTGTCATCATCACCAACATTATAAACATCATCTATTTTAAGAGCATATATTGGATTAATCTGCGAAATAATCATTATTGCCATGCCAGCTATAAAATATAAACAAGCGATGACCATCACCACTCCTTACCGAAAATAGTAATTAATATTTAATAAGTTTATATGTTAATAATTGTATTATATTAATCATGTAAGTGTTTCCCTTTTCGGACTGCAGATTAATTATTCACCTGATGCCGATTGAAGCAACTCAATCGAAACGTCAAGACATTCCCAACAACACAACAACAGTTCGTTTCAGAACGCCTACTTGGTGAATCACAAGCATTTGATATATATATATATATATATATATATATATATATATATATATATTATAGA